TCTACCCAGTGCAAAACAAAGTTTAATGTACTTCTGGAGAAAAATCATAAACAATCAAACCCCAGCCCCACAAACAAAGCCCAAACCAAAATACACAAAACCACCAAAACCCACTTTTGGAAAAAAAAAAAAAAAAAAAAAAGGGAAAAAAAAAAGAAATTGAAAAGCCAATAAAATATTTTGAAATTGTTAAAAGTCTCATGATAAAAGAGCAAAGAAGAAACATCTGAAACAGTAAATTATTCTCCATTTTAAATGCTTGTGATGCTGTTATTCAAGCAGAAGACCTTTGTAGGCCATGGTCTCCTTTCCAGCAAATTGTCCAAAATGTGTCTTTTCTACAAGCCAAGCATGAGGAAAAAGTAATCAAGAAAGCCTGACTGGATGTGAAAAGACAAGCCATGTAGTAAGGCTCCTAAGAAATGTGCCATGCCATGCTACCAACATCTGGGTCAAATATTAACAAGGACACAGTTTATAGAAGGTAAAACAAACTAGTTTGAGAAAATAAAAAACATGTAAAGTATGCTGAACCAGCTCTTTTCAACATCACGTGCTGTGGGGTCCAAGATTCATCTGTGTTCTCCCATAATAAGGAAAACTGGAAGAAGAAAGCAGAGCAGGAAAAAGAGCATGACAGCCAGCCAAATAAATCATTCAACAAGGCTGTGATGACTCCATCAGCTACTGCCGAACAACAGCGACCTCAAACCATGAAAGCATTTAAAGAAAACTGATCTACAGGTGGCTTTCCAGATTTCATGTGGGCAAAATGCAATCTGCCTGTAAGTGTATTTTTCTTTTAATTGACCACATCAAATATATGAAAACTAGAAATATAATTGATATCAGAATGTAGAATAAACAAGTTTTTAAAATAAAATAATAGTAAATTAATAATAATGTTCTTACAATATCTTTATTGCACCTTTCACTTTAACGTGTTAACCAACATGAAATGTTTTTTCACATTTCCATGGATCTTTGGATTGATAACAGGTGTTATAAAGCTTTTCTGGCTTTGCTACTTTACAAAACAAGGTGTTGCACACTATGCAATCTTAAACAGAATTGCGCCTAATTAATGTGATAGGCTAGAGGATTATGCAAAGAGGCCAGACCATTGCCAGAAAAAATTACCTTGATGGAAAAATGTGTTTCTGCTAGCAGAATAACAAGAATCTCTTGCATTTCAGAAATGTGACAGTGTGGGAAAGAAAAAATCTGTAATATTTTTTAAAAATGGAAATAGTTTTAAGTTGATTTGTTTCCAATGTGGTTAATCAACATTAAATACAGTATTATAGCTACAGTGAGTGAAAGCAGCCACTCTGAAAGTTTATAGAGTTCTTTCCTAGGAATTTTTAATGTAATATTCATTTTCTTATTACTTTATTACTACTGTTTCAATTTGTTTTGCCATAACAACTTAAACATTGAAAGCCCTGTTAAGACTGTTAAGTAAGATTTCAGCCTGTATTTGTGGTCTCCTCTATTGCAGGTGGATTTCAAGATAGGACAAATACACATTCCATGAATCTGTATTTGTAGGTAAATCCAGTAGTAATGGCATATTCTGCTATCACACCTAAAAATAAAACTACCACTCAATTTCAGCTAATTTAATATAGGCTTTTTTGGCATTTTTCAGGAGCTTAATGAGAATTTTGCATAAGTAACATATTTTTATGGAATAGAATCAGTTGTTTTCACTTGAGAATGATGGAGGCTTCCCAGGAACCTGTTCAAACTTAGTGTTTTTTCCTTCATCCTATCTCAAGTTTCTGCATAGGTTTAATTATGTTAGATACCAAATGTTATTCTGCTAGCTGGTTATTAATAGACCACCTAAATTTTTCAGTGCTTTCTTTTTTAAATCCTTATGTTTTTACTGATCTGTTACATCAAATAGCTTTATGTCATAGTATGTCTTTTGAGATCTGTCTTGTTGGATGTGTTTTGTATAGTATCTCTGAATTTTAGTAGTTTTGCCTTTTTCATACAGGATAGGGATGACCATCATCAGGACAGGTCATTACAGCTAGCTTAGTTGATGTAGAGGTTTATTAGACATCCTCATATACTTTAGCAAAGCTACTTAGTAGCATTAAAGACAAGGTACGTAAGTCACCTATTTAGCTATCATCTGCCTCGTGTCAGAGACATTCAGAACCACGGTTTTCAAATGCTTCTCCATGATTTTACCTGTCCTCTGGGCTAAAACTTCTTTCTCAGCACTTGAGGAGAAGGAGGGGGTGGGGAAAAGAGAGAAGTAAGGTAAAATTTGATTATATTTTTTAACTATTTGCCTTTGTTCCTTAATAGCATCAAGTAGACGAAAACTGTTTTCTCTTCAATTGACATTTACTGCATTAAGACTCTTTAAAGTGAGTAGTTCATACAGCAGATCAAGTTGATTCTGAGTAAATCACACTTTTTCTGTGTCGTCCATTCAGTCTTTCACAAACTGCTGTGGTATCAGACCAAGACAGTAAGAAAGTCAACAGCATTGAGCATATATTCAGGATAATGTTAATTAACATAACTTTTCTATTGTTACAGGTCTTTCATTATGTAGTGTTAAATGCTAGCACAAAGGTGGCAGCAAAAAAAAATTTTGTTGTTTTTCATAAGTATCGCAAAAGTAACTAAGCCATACATTGCTGTTTCAGTGGCCGTGAGATTTTGCAAATGTATCCAAGTTTAATGAAAATACATTACATTGAGCCTAAATGTAAGATACTTGAAAATTTCAAGTCCACGTTCGGTTCTAGTTCGTATGCTGATAACACACATCATTGGTATGAGTCAGTAAACACATTACCTTAAAAAAAAAAAAATAAGCACTATTATTTTTTGCTTAGTGCTTAGAACTATGTCAGCTTGGAATAGAAAGTCTCTGCAACTTAAATCTTAATATGGATCGTGAATCTCAGATTTTGGAAACAGTAACTGTATGCAAAATCTTCGTTTTTTCAATAAAACACAGCTGTTGCCAAGAAAAACTTTTCAGAGACAGGCACTTGAAACCTCCTTAACAATATTATGATTATACATTTTTAAATGTTAAATAATGTTTCTTATTTTGCATTATTCTTTAATAGAAAGTATCACAGTTAATAAGCAAAACTGCAGCAAACATAATCCAGGGGCTAGTTTCAAGTATTTCTGGTTATTTTAAGAAATACTAGAAGTCACAGTGCCTCTTAATTGCTTTTGTTTGAAAATACTGTCACGCTTGAAAAGCAATAGTTGTAACAGTAAAGGCTTATGAGCTTTTTCACTTACAAAACTGTATTTTATTTTCTTCTTAAAAGCTATGTCAGTACAGAAGCTGGACCAGTATTTAGAAATAAGTAACTTCTAATTTTTTCTATAGAAAGAGACAGCAGCAAAGTAACTCCACTGGAACACACGGTTGTTTAAATCAATTTGTACTGACTTTGTTATTAGTATCCAAGTTCATTTTTATAGAGAGACTGCAGGGCACCATTGTTTCAAGAGAAGCTTGCAAATACTATCAGTTAAGCTGCCTGAAATGTTCTGGTTTGGGTTTTTTTTTGGGGGGGGGGGGGGGGAGGGGAAGTATTAATGTTTATTCAGAGGTCTGTAATTAAAATATGTACAACTTCATGTGTTCTCTCTTATTTGACTTGGTTTTTACACGTACTGCTAATGAAAAGTTACTTGTAGATGCTATATAATGCATTTGATTTGAAAAGTCAAAATGTGTAGTGGTTAAGAATTAAGAATGTGGAGTTCATGTGAAAACAGTATCTTTTCTAAGAGTATATAATTAAATTATTAGTATTTTTATGATCAGAGTAATTTTCTCATTTAGACAGCTCTTTTCTTAACTAATGACTGACATAAATATGAAACTTCATTCCTGCAGTAACACGAAGCTGCTAGCATGGCTGGACTATGGTGAAAATAGAAGTATGAAAATTACAAAAATAAATGGAGACAGACAGGGTAAGTTTATTGAAAGGTTTTTAATATTAAGTTTCATGTATTAGGTTTGAAATACAGAGCTCTCTTCACAGCATAATAAGTAGAATCAGCTTCTTAGTTACTAATTTAATGTGGTTGTTTAGAAATTTATCTCTATCTCAGGCTTGTGTTTTGGTCATTTGTTCTTCAAGGCTTTGTAGTGAAGCTGCTGGCAAAACAGTAGTATTTGCAAGGTTCGGCAGACCAGCTCAGCTATGGAAGTCTTGGAGACTTAATATGGAATGTTTTTTATGTTGAAAATTAAAAATATATCAATTCCATATCTATTTATAAATTTTTACTACAGTCAGAACTTACACCAATAACATACTAGTGGCTTCGGGACACAACTTTTGCTAAAACATGATGAGAATATGCAGCTTTTTTTAAAAGAAGCTGCTTTTGTTCAGCTTGAGTTGTGTGGTACAGTATGAGAGATGAGAACTTATGAATTGTAGGGAGAAGAAAGGCAGTTTTTCCTCTGACTTCGAAGAGATAAATTCACTAGGATCCAAGGGGATTTACTAGGTTGTTGTAATAGCTGAATCTGTCCATGGGAATTTAAATGTAGCTTGCAGAAGAGGCTTGTTTGCCAGCAGCAGTGCCAGTGAAGCTTAATGCATGTTGCCTGTTCTTTTAAGAAAACAGTATTAGGTTCTAGTGGTGAACAGGAATATAGTATAAATAAAAATATGTACAGTGACTTTAGATTATTTAATATGATTCTTCAAAATTAACCCGTACCTGTTAAAACTTGAGACTTATTTTGCATAGTAAGAGGTCCTCAGATGAATTGCTAAAATGACACAACAGTAAATGGAGATGCAAAAACACAAATTTGTACTAAGAATGGAGACAAATGCAAGAGCATGAGTCACATTTTCAAGTAGCTTAACTTCTTTGGGAAGCATGCAGTATTAAAACTGCATGAAAAATGATGTATAGCTAACTTCTGGCAAGTATGACAGCACATCAAGTGAGAAAAATGTCTTTTGGGATGTGTGAAAAGAGAAACATTTATTTGCATAAGCAACTAATTTGTGGAGTTTGAAATTTAGACTTGGAAGTAAGGATTTTTCCTTACTAAAATGATTTGGGTGATAATGAAAAGAGAAATAAAATGTTTAAGTAAGGTCAGAGACAAAACTGAAGCCTGAATTCAGAAAGGCACATGGACTGAATTTCAGCAATATGAGCTGAAAATACAGTATAAAGTAAGATTACAGGAGGAACTCTCTTGTTAAAAAATATTTGAAAGAGGGAGATAAGCATTCAGGCAGTCTCTATATACAGTTTTCCTTATGGTCAGAATGTGAGGCACACGGTACTTCATGATGCAAACAGAGGAGTAGTTAATGAAATACGGCCATTTCAATGGCATTTTCAAGTATACCTTATCTAATTGTATTTTAACCATACAAACTAAAGCAGCAAATACAAATCACATTTTCCTTCTTTGAAGCACAGAAGAGGTATGATTGTTTGGTATTTATTTAGAATTCCCAGTCTGTACCATCTTGATTTGCAGTAATAGGTCCAAGTTCAGTCCCAACTGCTGTTGATGGCAGTGCCAAGAATTCTGATGTGTTATTTTGAATAGGAGGTGGTAATAAAGACAGTAGTGAATTCTGTGTTTGTTCTTTTATCTAGAAAGAAGAAGAGTTAAAACAGGGCTGCACATAAAAGTCTATATAACTTTGCATCTGACTTCATTAAAAGCATGTGAAATCAGAGACATATTCTTCCATGTTATAATATTGAAACTAACAGGGTGAGGGGTTTAGCTTTCTTCACTCCAGAGTAAGTCAAATTAGTCTTTCAAGAGTAATTACATTAGCTATGCAGTAGTTCTGCTTTAAATTAAGAACACTAACCATTATTCTTACTAGTTAGGCTGACTGAAGTTAAACCAACTTTATCAAAAGGGAAATGGATTATTCTCATGCTTCCTATACTCCATCAATACCATTTTGTTAAAAAAAAACCCAAAACAAAAAAACCCCAAAACATAGTCTGAAGCAGATATGCTGTCACAGGATGTTTTTTGTCTCCAGCTAACTTAGTTATTTTGTAATCCAACTCTAATATTTTGTGGCTTATTTAGGTGATAGCTGTGTCATTTAACAAAATGTAGTAAACTCACCTGTTTGAAGAACGTATGCGAAAGCAAACTGCTTGCTGATGGCCTGGATCATAAAATGAACAATATAATTATGTTTTGGAAAGTAAAATACTGCTTTTGGAAAATGGGCCAGACTGACAAATCAATTTAAGCCCTGTGGTTTTTCATCTACAGGACAAATGTGAAGCATGAGAAAAGCAGCACAGAATTGCTACATTCTATGCCTCAATTAGTACTGAAGGCACTGCTAAAGAAATCTGTTTTTAAAGACTTTTTCACCTTTCTGTTTAGCAAGGAATTTAATGTGTCATTCAGAAGAGACGTAGTATTGAAAACATATACTTCAGATTTCTGTATTTTTCTTGGACAAAGTACATGTTTAAAAATTAATTTTACTTGTTACAAAGTATATTCTTATTACAAGACTTGAAAAGCACAGTTCCTTTATCAGACAAGAAAATTCTTAAATTACAAAACCAAAGGTAAGTGTAGTGTTTTGCATAGTACTTCTGATCTGAAATTCTAACTTTAACAGTATTCAACTAATTACTGTATCTTAAATTGTGGGCTACACTTGGTCTTAGATTGAAGCAACAGAAAATCAGTTTTCACCAGAAGGTTACCTTTTCTCAGGGTCCTGTTGCAAGCAAAGTTCTACCAGGTTGTGGAAAGCAGGTGAAAATGTTTTGGAAAAAGGAATTTGTAGTCTTTCACTGGTCATTGTGCGTGTCATGCTCTCACCAATTCCAGAATCAACACCTGATCGGGAATTCTTCATCCTGGATTCCCCACAGGGAAGAGTATTTATATCCCAAGGCCAATATGTGGGACCTTTCAGCTTCTGCAGCAGCATCTAGTAGAAAGGAATAGCAGTATAATAGTTCAACAGCTAAGCTGTGAAACTCCAGGAAGGGAAGCAGTATTTGATCTAGAAGGAAGCATGCATATTTGAAATAACAGAAAGCAGTCACCATTTCAGCAGTAAACAGCATTGGTTTCTCTGAATGAAACAAAAAAAAGCTCAGTGTTTTGAAGTAGAAATAGAGTTCAGCATCATACCTGAGTGCGAGGCATATTTTGAAATGGAACATATCCATTGGCTAATTCACATGCTGTAATTCCCACACTGTAAATGTCAGACTTCATGTTATACCCAGACAAATCCTGTGAGAGAAAAAAACCTACTGGATCACTGCTGCCATTGAGCAGTGCCAACAAAAATACGTCTGTTTCAAGACAAGATTCTAATACCCTGTAATCTACACAGGATTGAGGCAATTAAATTGTGAAGCCTCAGGCTTTGTTCAGAAATCTGATGGTTGTACTGAAGACAAGTTTTAGCATCTGCATAGTTTCCAGGATGGTCGGGTAAAGAGACTTGGTACAGCACTACTTTACCAACAGCTTTTAAACAGGTTCTCTTTAGGAGAATTACAAATTTAGTACATCTATATCTTTTTAAAAGGTGCAGTTCAACAGCTTCCATTGTACTTCTATGAGCAGACTTAAGTTAGAAGTTGAGTACTTCCAGTAACTTTGAATAGGAAAAATGAAGTCTAATTTATACTAACCTGTCTCAGTAGTTCAGGACTCAGCCAAGGAAGCACAGATGTACTAAATTGGGGGAAATCATATACCACCTTTGACTTTTGTCCATTGTTAACTAAACTGTAGAGGTTGTTTAAGCCAGAGAGAGAAACCAGCCCATCCCCTGAAATCAGAATGTGGCTAGCTTTAATATTCCTGTAACATAAAGTGGTAAATTTTAGTTATAAGAATTACTCAATGCAGTACTAGAGTAGAAAGGCTTTCATATTTCATTAATTTATAGTGAGAAGTTAGCATGCAGTTCTATTTAGCAGATTATTTTCATGGAAGTTCTCAACTCAGTATGAGTTGTCTTTTTAATCCAGCCCCAAGAGAGAGGAGAGATGATCAGCAAAACTGCCAGAAACTGGAGAAGGGCCCTCCTTCCTTGCAAAGGGTGTAAATTAAGAAAGCCCTTTCTACAACTGATTCTCTTCTGCTTCAAAGAGACAAAGCCAGACAGATGTATAATCCCTGTAATAACTGGCTTTAAACAATGTATGAATACCATTAAGCTTCTGCAAACTTGTTTTTGCTGTATTATTGAAAAAAAAAAAAAGCTTCTGTAGTTTCTGACATAAGAAGGTATATAGAAAAAGGAAGGAGACAACACTTAAGCTGAAAATGAGTTTTGAAGTCAAACTAAATTCTTAGTAATGTGGATGCTGTAACCTGATTCTTACCTATTGACATTCTCCTACCTGTGAATGTAGCCATTCTGGTGCATGTAATTTAATCCTCTGATTGCACCAAACAGAATGTTCCCTATCAAAGCTTCACTCATTCCTTCAGGAAAGTAAGTCTTCAGCAGGTGTCTAGCTGAACCTGGAAGTGAAAAACACCTAGCTGAGCCTAACAAGTCTTGTTAAATTACTTGCCTATGCTTGTTTCTTTGTATACATCCATCAAAAGTGACATTCTCATCTTGAATATGGTATGTCAAGAACAGTTACATGGATGCAACTGATGCATTCATCAGGAAAAGCTCACACTCAGGTCATGCTCCTGTTAACTGAAAGTCTATGCCAGACCTCTCTCCTCTCTTCAATCTAGACAAGTTTTCTGTTGGCAAAATTCAAAGTTGTATAAAGTCAAATACACCTTCCAATTACCATTTCTCACATGGTGGGTGTAAGGACTAAGTGCAATTTAATGCAGCTCAAATACCAATCTTCACTGGGGAGGAAGATCTCATACAGAAGACTTCTCTAAACAAATGGATTGGGAAAGTTTGCTTTTTCTACAAGACAGGAGATGCTTAAAGAAAGACCTCTCATGGACCCTGTGGTCCAAGTTGTATCAGCCCTTTTTCCTATTCCAAAATTGCAGTTAATGGTTCTTACCATAGGCCATGAATGGGGAGATGACCCAAAGCCAGCTACCAGCTGTAAACACTGTCCAAAGTGTCATTACATTGGGATGTTGGAAAAAGTGAGATAAAACCACTTCATTCTGTGGAATTAAGTGAAAGTGGATGTTTTAACCACAAGACAATAGTCTTACTAAGAGCATTAACTATGTCAGTCATCAGTAGAAAGAACTGTTCCGTGTGCATTTATATACAAAGTCGCAGGTGATATGCATAGCCTGCAATAGTAAATAGTTGTAATTAACTTGCCTATAATTGTATCTGTCTGAGTAAATTTAGTTTGCTCATAGTCCAAAATTTTGGTGTTAAATACAGAGTACAGAACATGTTTCAAATAAAAAGTTGTACAATTACAGAAGTATTTCTAAAACACTTGTCAACTGTTTTCTTCAGAAAACAATTCTCAAACATGCCTTGTGTTTATATTCTACTCATTTGGAGAAAAAAACTTGATTGAAATGACCCAGTACAAACACAAAGGCTACCTCTGTTTAGTAACCTCATATGTATTCATCACTATCTTCATCAGACTTGCGCAGAAATGTTGTTGCTTTACCTGTAAGGCTTTCAGATGGTCTTCAGAGCAATTTTCTAGGTCTGTGATCCTTACAGCAACTTGCATGCCTGTAGGTGTATGCCGTGCAAGGTAGACTGAAGTTAAGTTGTTGAACCTCCTTCCTGAAACCAAAAGTGGCTACCTTAACATTGGAAAATAAAATCATCCACCACATAATTTCATTCATTTTAGAGATAATTTTACAGTTCTAAAATTGCAATTGATAGCATGACCTTTTCTTTAAGGATGTAAAAAACTTAAGTAGTTGCAGCAAAATATATCCAGCAAATTAGTTAAAGCATGGCCCTGCTGTTTTTAGAACAATTAAAAGTGTTTAAACATTTGTAAGTATCAATTATACATCTAAATGAACAACACTTCTAGCATGCATATTCCTATAAACATATGCATGCGTAGTAGGACTCAGGGCAGCCATCCTTAGGCCAATCAACTCGGGTAGCCAAGTGACAAGACATGATGCTACTTAATGCTGTATTTATTGTCCACATACCACAGATTTAGAAAGCTGACATGCACAAACATCAAGAGAAAAATTCATGTAACTGTTGATTTGTGTTGTATCTCAAAATAAGTGATTACTGAAACATGAACAATGTTCTGCACTTTTCTCAACTAAGGAGACACAATAATAGTTCTAGTCAGCTGATTATATGTTTTACAAACTTACTATTTACTGCAGTTAGCAATAACCTTTTGAGAGCATGCATCTGCAGGAACAAGAAATATTTTAAGGTACACTTATGTTACCTATTTCCAGCTGGAGTTCATAGTGAGAGACATTAGAAGAGCAAAATACCATTTCATTCCTTCCTGTAGCTGGGGGAATCCAGGCTAGATCAGAATCAGCCTAACAGTGAGGAAAAAGAGTTCTGAAAATGACTATATAATTTTTAAACATTTACATGTTTAAAACTAATGCAAAAATATCATTAATTAGAATGCGAAGATCAAGTACTCAAGTCAGAACATTCCAGATGGTGCTTTTACCACTACACTGAGACTTAGTTTTATGAGCTACTGGGTTTTGTGACTGTGTTTTGTTTTTAAACTGGTACAAGATTAAGAGTAACACTTAGTTACTTATAATCTTCTTCCAGAGTGGAAGCCCCAAAGTACTCTGGTTATTTTTGCGGTTAACATTTTAAGAGTACTCTCAAGGAGATTATTTTTAATATGTACCTGCTTTGTATTTAACATTGCCAGTTAATGTTTTTTATTTTCTTCTTACCAGGCATTCATGGACACTGCTCTGAGATAGCTCTTCTGGTCTGATTGATTCAACTGGTGTACGTAGAATACAGGAACAGTCCTTGAGAACAGAAATAAGTGAATGTTAGTGGAGTTGCTGCAATTTATTAAACATGCCAGTGGGAAAACATCAAAAGTAGCCCCTATAAGCAGGAGTTCAGAAGGTTTTCTGCAACAAGTCAATCAAGCAAGAGGTTAAGAAATGGCGTAGAGCACATACATGGCAGACCCAGCGAGAAGAGATACTAAACAGTCTCCTTCACTGAAAGTTGATACAACAAAGTTTAAATGTCTCAGCACTCTGGAAATCCCCTCAAGCAAGACATTTACCAGAACCTATTCACGTTAAGGTATGACTGGGTAACAAGGTATAACTGCCAAAGATTTTAAAATATAAACTTACCAAACAAGACATGGAACCGCTTTAGATCAGGGGGAAAGTCATATACACCCATTTATCCTACAAAAATTAAAGTAGCAATATAAGATTGTACATAAACCTGTGATAAATATAAGTCTCTTTAATCACAACTATGAGGCATGCCTGTCAGTTAATGCACACACAAAAGAACAAAATACAGCTCTGGGAAAGCCTGCTTCTGTTGAGCCTTTAAGCAGTGTACAGATTTCAAACCCCATACTGAGGATACAATATACATTCCAACTCGTTTTCCGTTTTGATTCATGGGTTTAGAGATCTTACTGCCACTTCTGAACAAATAATGTAATTGCAAGTTAACGGCGTATGTGCAGAAAGTAAAAAGGAATGGATAAACAAATCCCTGGCAGTTTGTAGGAAAATAAATAATTGTCTGTTGTTTTAAAGGAGCACAGCTGTGCTGGTCAGATTGCAGCTCAGCTGTGTGCAGCTGAACTAGCTCACAAAAGAAGCAACCCAAAGCAATTGTGCTTTACAATTCACAAGTGAGAGAGGAAATACTATTGTAACGGATTTTAGGAAAAAAAAAACAAACAAGGAGGGGAACCAACTCAGATAATTTTCACTTTACTTTGGCTGCAGAATCAGCATTGAAACTCCCTCACAGATCAGAGTAGCCACTCTGAAAGTCCTCCACCAGACCTACTTTATGTCTGATGCATTGAAATCTTAGGCAGTGAGGAGAGAGATACGACTGTCTAATAACCATATCAAAGTTTCCAAACTGTAGAGTGGGATTAGCTAATTTACTTTAGCTACAAGCAAGTCTCCTACCATAATGAATCCTACTTGCTGGCTGACCAAGTCAGCTACAGGAGGTGGTGCCATGCTGGTATGTAATTATTGCTTGAAAGTTAACTTCAAAAAGGTAAAGTACTGTATCAGAAACTGGTCACTTTGTTTATTAAGGAGCTAAACTTGATTATATCCTGTATTTAAATTATGTGTGCTATTTAATCAAGGCAACACTCTTGAAAAGCTAACAAACTCCCACCATGCCATCCACTGCCAAATATCCAAGCCACTCCTAATACTTAATGTTTTTACCCCGAAAATCTGCTTGAAGTAAAGAAATACTGTAATTCCTTATTGAAGATGAAAAATGGAGACAAAAGGAGATCCTCAGTAGGTACTGGGCACCTTCAGAAGATCAGGGCTTGACTTACCCGACCTCACTGAGGAAGTCTGTGGCACAGTAGGGAAAAAAAAAAAATAAACAAAAAAAGCAGGTGCTTCAAGACACTGGTAGCACTGTGATGGCTACAGCATCCTCCTACCTGGAAAGGAGATACCTCATGCCATTACACAAGATAATTACTCTCTTGCTTGGAATGTGAAACGACAAAAGCTAAGCTGAAAAATAAAGTCTTAATAACTATGATACACTAAAGTGAAATCATTGTAGAATTTGTTTAAAGGGGGATAGCTAGCTAACAGAAACGTCCATGATCCACATTTGTTCCAATAACATTACAAATGTAAGATTTTTATTTTTATTTTTCTTATGTAGTTCAACATTGCATCCATTTTCATACCGGTTTGGATCATGTCCTTGCATAAACCTTTTCCTTGTTTCCACATTTTTCTGTGTCACAGGCTTCTTTTTGTACTGCGGATAGTGCCAGTATTGCACATCTGAACTGACACACTCATCCCAGCTTGGCCAAAGCTGCAGATGCAGCGAGGAAGGCAGGGGAGAAAGTAAAACAGGAAAACGTGCCTGTGAGCCGGGAGAGCGCGGGGCTCTGCGGCCCGAAGCCCCGGGACCGCGAACGCACGTTACTCTGGTTCCGCTGGCGCTGGGCGGCAGCTCCTCCTTCAGTGTCTGCAGTGACTGAGGCAGACGGTCTCGGTCGCGTATCTCGAGTGAAATGATCCGTCCGTGACAAAAGTAACGGAACGTGAGAGAACGACGCCCCGCGGGCTCTCCCGGGAGAGCTCCTCACGGCTCCGTGACACTCGTACCTCGCCTCCTCCCGCGCCCGGCAGCGGTTACGGCTTCCCGCCTCCCCCC